ATGTCATCAAAGCAGTCTCCAGATACGTATACTGTCATGGCGGCTCATCTCTGATTCCAGCAAACAGTGGGGACGCACGTTCTAACCTAACCTAACCTATTCTAATAATTTAATTGGTAATAATTATGGTAATTTATTAGAATAGGTTACGTTAGGTTAGGTTAGAACGTGCATCCCCACTGTTTCCTTTCTTTTGTTTGCTGGAATCAGATGAGCCGCCATGACAGTCTACGTATCTGGACTTTAACCTTGATTTTATCTATTTCATTGGCTAAATAGGCAAAACAATTTATAAATAAAACATATTCTATCCTAATTGAGAATATACAAAGGCACGAATCGGTATAGTGGTTCTGAAAGTTACGGATCCGCCGTATGTTTGGGAAGTACAGATGTGACAATCCCGATGACAGCGTTTGGCAGACTCGGCGGTTCTGGAGCCATTGAGTATTTTTATATGGTAGCACCATTTCGGAATGTGTTTGGTATATTGACGTCACAATAGCGTTTACAGCTGACTGACGATGGCTGCTTCTTGCTCCTTTGCATACATCACCTCATTCAGCAGATGTAACTACAGCATTGAAACACCTTTGCTCTGTTTCAACTGTTGATTAGCTGAATGCAGTCATTGAGTTAACCTATCGTGGGATGCATTTCCTAGTCGAGTAGCTAAGCTGACTTGCCGATCTTATGGGAGAAAATTATTGTATCTGCTCCTTGAAATAATCATACGTCCATCTCAATACATTACACTCTCTATCCATAGAAATATTAACAAGGTTTTCCTTATGTCAGAGTCTCGTAAACTTTTCATCTGCAACCCCTTCTTAAAACAATGTTTTTTAGACCCCATTTTACAATGAAGTTTTTGTGACTCCCTCTTTCATTGCATGGACTTTAACCACCAAACTGCAGCTCTGAATGAAGTAGTTGGGACTTCATCACAGCATAGAACATACCCACAAAAGTAAAAAAGTCAGAGGAACTGACAGTCGACATGTGACCCTTTGTGCGATTTAGCCCCAAAATAAGTCCATCTGGAATTTTGAAGACTCTCAAAAATGCGGTAAAATTTAAAAGCGTAAAAATCCAGAACCATTTATCAGAACAATGCTAAAAATCAACTTGTTTTCCACGTTACTAGAGATGGCCAAGAGCTTGTAAAATACCAAGAAACACCATTGCACTGGCTACTTCCAGGACGTAGTCACACTGCATGCTCTGTTTAGCCTATTATTTTGATTGACAAGCAGTCTGGTCAAACCTTTGGATGTAAATATCTCGCCAAGGGTCATAATTTGCTATATTATTTGACTTTTTTGATCATCAAGGTGATTCAAACTTCCACAATCATAACCAGTTTTATTTGGACATAAGTAATTTCTTTTTATGGGGATTCAGAATGTAATTAGAACATAGTTTTTTTTTTTAAAATGAAGCATTATTTTATTGGTTGTAACCACACGACATAGTCTTCATTACTTTACTTCAAAAAAAAAAAAAAGACGTTCATGCTGGAGAGATTCTCTCTCTCTCTCTGTAATTGATGGCCACAATATCAATCCTCAAGTTGCCCAGTATATATCTAGTTTTTCAGATGTTTATGTTGGGCCACCTCCCAAGTTGAATATAAGGTATAAGCTTGTTTAAGGTTGATCTGAATTTAATTCTCTGTAGAAAGGCAGTTTGTGGTTGTGGTAGACTCTTTCTAATATAATAAAAGTAGTTTTAATACCTTTCGGGCTGAATTAAATGTTCTACTTTTATCTGTGATAAACAGCAAATGATATATAAATTTAATGAATGGGGGATATTAATGAGGAATTTGCATAATTATTAAAATTGCTTTAGTAAAAATTTTGTAGAAATGTATCATTTTCATCTACCAACATCTTTTTGCATACCTTTCAATTATATTTAACAATGCAATACAGGGTGTAACAAGACGATGGTTACAACTTTAAGGGATGATAGAACATGGCAAAAGTAACAATTGTCGTAATACAATGCATAGTGGAATGTGAATGCAGAAACACTGTAAGTATGAAGATCGTGGAAAATGAAAAGTTGTTTTAATCATGATATTTACAATAAATAATGTTTCATTTACAAGAATTGCTCAAATGAACAACCAACATGCATCACAACAGTGATGGAGTGATTGGTGTATATTTTGAAGATATCTGGCATGGCACATACTTCAGGGCATCTCGTAAATGAGGCTTTTCAGATGTGAGCAAAGAACAACCCTGTCTCACACAGTTGTTTGTGCAGATGCTGAATGGTTCTCTGATCAGCAACCGGCGTATTTGGAAAATGTTCCTGGTAAAGTCATTACACTTCAACGGCATTGTCATTTGCAGCTCTGTATGTGAAATGCATATCTACCTTCTCAGCATTCAAATACTGTTGCATCTATGCAGCTATACAACTTTCAAATGATGATGTGTGTGCAATGTGGCCTTCTCACCAGCAAGTGTCCTCTTGCAGCAAACCACTCAGCTTCCAACCACACATTGTATTATGATAATTGTTACTTTTGCCATGTTCTGTCGCCCCTTAAAGTTGCGACTGTCTTTCCTGTTACACTCTGTTCATCCTGCTGTATAAATAGAATATTTCTTTCTGTGAATTCAGTTCATTAGTAGGAAAATCTGAAAATGATCAATTACTAGTTTCAATTTGTTGAAACAAGGACTGAACTCATGTTACATGTTGCTTCACATCTTTTAATGGTGATAAAACCTCATCATATCCTCTTCAAAATTTCCTTTGGCTCTTGCACTGATAACATCAGTTTTTGTAGATAAGCAGAATTATTGCCATTTTATCTGTTTCTTCTTACTTGGAAAAAGTATTTTCTAACGGGTTCTGATTGAATTTGCATATCAAAACAAACTTCTGATTCTGAAGAATTTCAATGCGTAAGGAGTCAGCTGGTACAGAAATTAACCGCTCTTTTTTACAGTGTATAGGAACCTTTTTTCTTAATTTAATTTTGATGACTGAAATTTACAATGTATAAAACCAAATTCAACTTTATTAGTGCTCATAAATTCAAGTATAATTTTTCTAGTGTTTTTAGGACAAACCTTATTAGAGAAACAATACTTAATTTAAATATGCAAATTCCAATTAAGCAGTTTTGATTTTATTATAAAAGTTAGCCTTTATTCATTATGTGAAAGGATAATAGAGTATGTCAATAGAATGTACACAAAGAAGGGATTTTTCGATATTCCCTCCATGGGGGAGAGGTGCAGGATTAAGGCTTACTGTGAAAATCTTGGCTTCTATTATACTATTTTAGATGCGGGTTTTTGCGTTTTTGATTGCGTTTTAATAGGGTACGTCAAGAGAATATACACTAATAAAAAAAATTTCGAAAAATTTTCCCCACGGGGGAAATGTTATACATTTATAATAGATACATTTTGAGCCACAACAAGGCGTGGCGGGGTCTGCTAGTTAGTAATGTAAAAAGTTGGTTGTTCGTTGATATTATCCTTTCAACTGCACTGTTGTATAGTCTTCCAAGTGCTACCTGAGAAATTCCTGAAAATCTTCACAAAAATAAATAGAAATGGCATGAAACATCATACTTTCTGAAGACAAATTTATTAAGTTTTGCATGTTTGATTTGAAAATAAGTTTTGAAAATTCTTATACGTGCATCCTTAGAAACATTACATATTAAAATTTATTTATGAATGCTGCATCATTAACAGGACATCGAGGAATTGCCCGAGAGGTTCAACCCGAGTGTTCAACTTGAAGCTTGAGGAAGTGGGCCAATAGATGTACTCTTAACAATACAGGAGGGCAACTTCCTTACCCAGGTATACAGAAAACCTACCTATTATCCACTATTTATCCATTCTGAATTCCAGGACCTGTACAAATGCTAATTTAATCCAAACATTGATTCAAAACATTATAAAATTTTAGTTGTTTTATTTTAATAAATTAAGAACAAATCTAACTGCAATTCAATGTGAAATCAGGTATTGTAGCATTTCAACTCGATAGAATCTCTCTCAATATATCACCAAACAGACATGCATTGTTTATTTTGCATGTTCTGACAGCATGACTAAAATACCAGTACAATATTTTTCTTAAAATTGAGTTTTCATAGCAGAAATGCTAAATATATTGGATTAAAAATCTAAAACTTCAAATGTTATTTTTAAGAAGTTTATTATCATGCAATAGTTAGGCTCTGAATCTTTATTATTTATAGAAATAAATTCAATAAATCATACTGGGTATATGTAAATAAGCACTATGCATAAAATAATATCCAACCAGAAATTACAAAAAGAAAACTATATAAAAGCAAACATTTACTTTTAATGTAGTAAATAAAATAAAAGGGATCAATGTGGTATTTTTAAACTTTCATAAGAAAATGTTATCAAAAGCCTTAGTGTTATTTTATTAATACTTTTGATGATAAATGTTAATTTAAATCATCATCATACAGTAAACCCTCTATTTAAACAAAAAATTTTCAGATGTGATTAAATTAATGTGATGTACTGTACATTGATTGGCTTAGATATTTTAACTGATTCGTTTTTTATATAAACATCAAGTGTCATTAACGTAGTTACGCAAAGTTATAAAATACAGTAAACCTTTGATTTTACAGACTAATTGGAAGAAAGGAGATTGTCTAAGAGACGAATTATTTTAAATTTGTTCACATATATATACAGTCGACCCCCATAACACGGGTTCCTATAGTTTGGATTCCTATATCACAGCAAAAAAATTGTGACAGCATTCGTACAAACATGCTAAAAAAACTCGTATAATTCGGTAAAACGTCGTCGCCGACTCGTGTCGCAACAGGATTGGTCGAATCTAGGCCAATAGCAGATATTGCACAAACCATTGAGTTTAAACAAGCGGCAGACCTACTAAAAACCATTTATTATTTAATGGCCATAAAAATTATATTTATATTAATGATGTCTCCAAAGTTCGGTGAATTTTTTGCAAAAAAAATAGTTTATCAGGAAGCACACGAGCGCCATTCGATGACAAGCTCCACGACGAAAACAAGCCTAAGCAATGGCAAGTAATCCTACAATTTTTTGTTTATAGCATAGTTTACATGGATTATTCCCAAAAAAATTATACATATTTTGGAAATGTTGAGTCAAATTAGTCTAGAATTGATTAATTTTATGGAAGAAACCTTTCAAACAGCCACAGTCCGTAAACTGCATAAGTGCCAGGCTGTGATTGGCTGGATTCATAAAAACCGGAACGTATCTACCGTGTTATAGGGGGGTCGACTGTATATATCTTTTATAAGACGACTTGGTAATATAAATATTGTCACTGTTTGTTTGGATTTAATACTATTTTCAGATAGTAAATGTATAGGAAGAACTGATTTTATTGATAATTTTAATGCTAAGATTTCTCAAAAAACTTAAATTCAATAAATCCAAAGATGACATATCAACAGCTGCCTAAGGAAAATGTGTACTGTTTAAATGTCAATGATATCATTAATTTATGAAATTATCTAAAATTAAATGAAAGAAAATTATTTTTCAGATAATCATGAAGATTCATGAAAAGCATTACAATATTAGCCAAATTTCTGTGAAGTCCCATGTAGCTGTATAAGAAAGCAATTATGGTTATGGGCGGTCACTTTCGTTACTCAGTATGGGATCCGCCTCTCATTGTGGCTCAAATTATAACTATTCAGAGTATTTTTTATGCTTCTTTAGGATTGTGGATATTTCTTACTAACATTTTGAGCAGTACAGCTCATTCTTTAGATCAAATATTTCTATATCAGGTGAGTGACAATTGCTGTTTTTACATTATGATCAAATAAAATTTATTTTTAAACCTATTTATTTTACAGCAAATACATGTGAAAGATTTTCATGGACAGTGCATTGTAGGATCTTATTTATTGAATTCATTGTGTTGGTAAGTTGAGAACATTTTATAATTTGTAAAACTTGGAACAGATTACAGTTTATTTCTTGCTTTCAGTTCATTGGGACTCTGGTATTTTGTACAGAGAACAAAACTGTGTTTGGACTTTACTGTAACTGCCCATTTGTTTCATCTGATAGCCTGTTGGATCTACAACAGCAGTTTTCCACACACGTTATCCTGGTGGTTACTTAATATAGTCTGCATAACTATCATGTGCGTCTGCGGAGAATTTCTGTGCATGAGGACTGAATTGAAAGCCATACCTCTCAGCCTGGGTCCAAAGGCTGATTTGTGATGTGTAGTTGTAAGTCTGTTTCTCTTTGTAATAAAAAAAGAAGCAAGTATCATTCCCATGAAAATAAGAAGCTAAAATAAACATACACACAATTAATTTGATCATTTTATTTCCAAATAGAGGACTGTTAGCTTGTCAAAATGCATACATACGAAAGAAGCTCAGCCATGACAATTCAGGAAGGCTTAATGATAATTACAAGAATCTTTACATATTCTCTGCCGACATTAAGTTATACTCTTCCACCACACACTGTACACGCATCCATTTTTTTTTTTTTTCTTTTCTTTTAATTCTGTACATTCTCTCCTTCAGTCTGTATTTACACATCATATATGGATATACATGCTAAAAAGAACTAGAAAGGCATTTACGACACAGATACAACAGATTATTGCTCAAATATTTGATTAATCAAAATAATCCAGCTATTTAAGAATTGGGAAGATTCAATTACATCCTGATATCTAGCTTTTATGGATGGATTTCCTTAGACTCGCATCGTACTCCTGATGCTGTCTTTAAATCCCGAACTGTCGCTTGTGGACTTAGTTTAATAAACAACAGTTGCAGTAATGTTTTGTAAAATTTGGCGAGTAATTTGACAGTGATTAAAGAACTGAAGAAACTAGAAAGGTTACTTTAATATGTAAATTAAACCTGTGTACATAAACTGCAAGTAATGTGGAATTCTAAACACTTTGCATTGCATTTTCTACAAAAAGAAAAACCTCGGTTGAAAGATAGTTTCCACATCAAAGTCAGACTTTCAGACATCCTTCCAAACCTAAAATGCAATGAGTAAACTATAATGTGCAAATCTCCAACTTCTTGGATTGTTTTCCCTTTAAGGCAAAGAATGAGTGCATATAAAACTTTAAATAAAACTAAACTAATGCATTAAAAATAATAAACTATTTATAAACAAAACAATTCGTTCGTCAGTTAGACATTGTCAGCATTTTCTAAAATGGATTCTTCGTCTTCTTCAATCACTTCCTGTATAAGACTGCAACCCCTGTCTTCTCTTTCTTTAGCCAATATCTCTCTCATCTGTTTAAATTTAAATACAATTAAATGATTTTTTTAAAAGCGCCTTTACCTTTCAGTGGCAGAAATTTCATAAAATTCCACTGGAATTTAAGAAAATGGTGCACATTTAATTAATAAAAATATATTTAATTTTTTTTTTATCTAGTTTACATAGATAATATATTAACACATATTTTTTACATTGACTTTAGCACAAAAATAGCTCGATTACTTATTCTTTATACAAAGAAAAATAGCTGCGGCAGCGATCTCTACAGATTAAACACTCCTGCACATTCCAGAAATTGGCATAAGTAGTAATTGCTGAAGTGAATTAAAAATAAAAAGATTCTTGTATAAAAAGTCCTCTTGCAAAAAAATTAAATATAAACTTTAAATATTTTTATAAATTTTCTAAATATGGAAGGAGCATCTACAGAATATAGTTTGAAAATAAAAAGTGCGTAAGACATGCAACAGCTTTTAAAAGTATAGCAATAAACGGAGACAGTCCAGTTCGGGTGCAGGCTTTCACGGAGAAATGTGCTGGAAACAGAAAAAACAGAAGTAATTTTCTACACATCAAAATTAATACTACACTCTAAATATAATAAAAGGAATAAAAAAGACATGCATAACTAGACAGAACTACGGAGTCATCCAACTACATGCAAACTTCTCCAGTAAGCATGCTATAAATTACCAGTAATCTCTAATTTTATTAACAATGATGAAAGATCGGCAAGCATGGATGCTTTCCAATTTTTGTGTTGCATCCTCAAGCAGCTATAAACTTAAATTTTGTATTTAACACACTTTTAATCATCAAATGATATGATTTTTTTCAACCTGCTCAGTTCTGGTTTTAAATATCTTCTGTAAAAAGTTATTTACAACAAGTAATTTCATTAATTAGATTATTCTCCTTTTGTCAAACCATATTTTCTACATGCAAGATGCACCTCTAATATAATAGTCACCGGTCAAAGCATTGCAATTCTCCATAGAATTACAGTAAATTTCATTTGTAAGTCAATAATTTTCAGAGTAGTGTTAAAGATCATCTTACTACAGTGATACCTCATACTGTGAATGATTCTAACTTCGAAAGCTAAATTTAAGAGGAAATTTCATCTGGAGTTAAAATGATGTTCAAAGTGCATGCAGTGAAAAAAATGGGTGTCTTGTCTTATACTCATTTGTTTTCGGTGTGTTTGGTGTATATGTAACCCCTACCTATTAACCATGGAAGCAATGAAGCATAATAGGAATGTGATAATATTGACGGTTGAGGTAAAAAGGAATTACGCAGGAAAGTGGTAAACTGCCAGATCTGCTGTGCGAAAACAGTAAATACAATTTCCATCTTATTTTACAATAGTTACACATTTTATTTATTCATTTACTACTTCAAAAACTGATTGTACATAATGAAAACATGTACAAATATACACAAAACCAGTAAAAAAGGGAATAAAATTATTTAATGGTACAAATGTTTTCATCCATTTATAACAATTATCACTAAGTATATCTTAACGAATACTGAACAGAACAATGTTAGCAATTGAACACATTTAAATACAAAGATTTGAAGTGGTTCAAATAGAAAAATTACTTTTTTTAATTTGTGTGTGCTACATTACTAACATGTACAAGATTCAAATCTTTAAACAAACAAACACATTAAAATATGTTATTCTGTTCAGTATTCATTAAGCTACATTTCACGTTTGTTAGAAACAGATGAAAACGTTTAATTGTAAATAACTTTATTCCTTTTAGTAGTTTTGGGTATTTTTGTGTGTTTTTTTCTTGTTATAATTAAAGTAAAAATGACAATTAAATGCCCCAAATTATATGTAATTGCCGTTTATCAAAATGAGTATCGTTTAGGGTCTGGGAATGGATTAATAATTTACATTCCATTATTTCTGATGGGAATGACCTTCTGAAAAGAAGGCCATTTCAGTTCAAAGTAAAAGGCATCACTGTATTTGTATCAATAAACTGCAGGTTTTTGCTTGTTCTCATTACTATTTAAAATAGTTCTTTGCACAGTTCTCATCTAGGTACATAACATGTTAGAAAATATGAAAAGTTTCAAAATTTTATCATTGAAATTTTATAATAATAAATCAAAACTTTTTACTTTTTAATCTTACCTGATCGGTCAAAAGCGAAATTCTTCCTTCCACTCTAGGTTCTAACTTACACTGCTCGTACTCAACCTTATCTAGGGAGGGCTGTTGCATTAAGAACATTGTACGCCTAGCAGCCGCATCCAAGCTGACTCCTCTCCTCATGGGAGCTCGCATCTGTAAGCTGCTGTCTTCGAACATCTTTACGACGCTGTGCCTAGAAGAAAAATCTTAAGTAGACGAGATCGACAATTTTATAAATTCGCATTGCAGATTTACAGGAAGAGTGCGGCAATTAGCATTGTTAATGGTGAAACATCCTTGTTATGTGCAGTCTGTGAGAAGGAATCGGGTGTAAAAGCAAACAAAAAACAACATGTATACTTCAAACTGTGTTGGCTTGTAACATTAAAAAGACTGGCTTTGTTATTCAATCACTCGCCAAAAGTGGTGTTATTTTTAAATTAGTAAAATTGTTCAAAAAAATAGCAAAAAATATGCTCACGTGACAAAAAAATCAAACCAGTAATCAGGATAGAGAAGAAACTTACGGCAGACTATCCCTATATGGAAGGAGCGGAGATGCAAGTAAGTGTTCCATTTAGCTTGAAAACCACAGAACGACATCCAAACATAGAACAACAGAATGGATTATTTTTACAAGTTACGCGCCAATAAATATGGCTTATAATTTGTCTCTCTCGACTCAAAACGAACACAACCTATTTTTTTTTTACACACGATCATTTACTATACTAATTAGAATGACGAGATTGAAAGTCTCACCTACGAGAAAGACAGACTAGACTCTGCCGATGTCGGGATCGATGGTTTACTCTTCCCATCACTATTTTGATGCTCTCAAAATGGTTTTGAACTGCAGTGCGTAGCTCTGGACTTTCCTCGTCGCCCAGCTGAAAACAAGTACGTAAAAATGAGTCGACACAAGTTTACTTACTCGAATTAATGCCGTCGCCGGCAAAACACTCACCACAACTTCGCAATCTTTGAGAACGTCGTAACCATCCTTCCCTTGACACAGATAGTTTTTAGTGGCTAATCTGTATTTCTGTAACAAAATTGGAAATAAATGTGAAAATTATGATGATTTGTTTATGGTAAAATAGGTCTAAAAATTAAAGTAAATGTTACTTTCACTTTTTCTGTACCATAGCCTTTTGTGGCTTTAGTTTACATATCGAAGTATAAAATTTGTGAGCTATGAAAGTACTACATGATCAAGCAAGAGTAGAACTTGCCAGAAACAGTGCCGGGAGTTTGGCAATGCTTTAAGTCGGCTGTGCTTGGAGTACTGCCAACTCCTCACAAACTAAGAATAGGAGAGAGGAAAGATCTCGCGAGGAGCTCGTCAATAACTCTTGCCGGCAATGTCAAACTCCTTGCAAGTTCTTTCCTCTCCCTTATTCTCTGTAAAGTTTGCAAAGAGTTGGCAGTACAACCTGCTTAAACTTGCTGAACTTCTGGCACTGAAGGCCACACTTTCCCTGTTATGCTGGCTGTCTTTGAGTTGGGAACAGTTTTTCAAATTAACGGTCCAATTTGGAGGTAGGAGTTCATTAAAGCTAATTCCCTGCCAGTCCCAACAAATACTTGGCATAACCATTTTTGGATGCAAACCAGATTTTTGACTACTTTTCAGGCAGGTCAGTTGACTTTCTCTTAACTTTTTTGCTGCATATTATCGTAAACAAATCATTTTTCGTTGCCAGTAATTAGTCACTTCATAAAGGGATACATCCAGTTACATTTTGGCAGCAAACCACAGGCAGAAAATCTGTATCAGATTTCTCTTGTTCAATCGATATGGTACCCAAACGTCGTAGCATGGTACACATCCTAAGTTTTGTAAATGGCCAATGACCAATCCACGAGTAATAGATAACACTTCTGCAATTTTCCTGCTGGTGTGATGTGGACTCTCTCAAATCGATGACAACTCAAATCGTGGCATTATCAGCTGAGGGTCTTCCAAACTGTGAGCGTCTCGTAAAGAAAAATTCCTTGTACAGAACCTCTTAAACCACTTTGACACATACGGCACAGATTGCATTTACAATGACGAACATACAACTTAAGAGCCTCCATTTTCAAGTCCAGAAATTTTAGTATAATGATAAAAACAAGTAATTAATTTTGGTTAACAAACATTCTGCTGCATTGAAACTGACAAAAACAATTGAATATAAACTGCCGTTAGTGGTTTAATGGCGGTATCATACATAAAACAACAAAACAAACCAACCTTCTGATCAATCCAATAAATACGAATTATGTATATATATCTCAAATGCCTTCAGACGTGCCTTCCGATTAATTACATACAGGTTCCCAACTCTGGTCTATTACACAACAAAATCAGTGTTAAGATTAAAATTAACATCAAATTTAGAGCTGCATAAACCTTGTTTATAACATTAAATTTAGGTATGAATCGTACTTTAATCAAAGTAAGAGGAGTGTAAGGGAAGTTGCCTTAATAGGCAACTTCCCTTACACTCCTGGTTCCTAAAATGATAACTAAAACTATTATCTTCCTAAACTGCAGACGTCTACATTAGTTCAGCATCCTATTATTAAATAACGACATTCTATTAAGGCTACAACATAAAACTGAAGGACATTGTTGCGTGATAAAGTTATTTTTAATTGTTTGTAGCAGATAATATATATATAATAAAGCTATTTTTATATGGTTGTTCTTATAAGCAGTTTTTTTTAACTCTCCGCTCTGTGGGGGCACTAAATGTAACCACAAGTAATGGATGAGGCCAGTCGGAACACCTCCCAAAAAGTTCCTGCAGTTATTTGACCTGTCTAGATTAATTCCCAGATATCTGGAGTGATAGGTTGCCATCCAACTGTGACTATAGCATATTCGTTACTTGTCAATAAATGCCAACGTATACACATCTATTGCATTATTTAATAGAAAAACGTCCCAAATACATGACGACCGAGCTTACGATGATGGATAAATTACAACATTTACAAAGTACTTGTATCACACGATCGTCTTAAGCACTCAACAATGTGAAACATCTTAGGAAAGGTTGCAAGTAATGGTGGAGGAAGGGTATAGGTGTATATAAGACAACAGAAATCGAGACTCGTCGTATTGTATTGATCCATAATACAAAATATACTCAAACTACAAGAAAAGAACTTTCTGTAAACTTGCAATGAATGGCCATGTCTTTTAGACATGTTGCTGAGTCACATTATGCATTATAATATGAAAATATACTGGGATACAGAGGGGTGAAAGTCAGGTACGGATTTTGTTGCTGTGTGATTGCGCAGCTAACATCAAGTTGTGTGTTAAGAGCAGAGACAATGCAGATGATGAGGACTATCTAAGAAGATGAATGCATGTCTCAACTATTGGAAGATGGCAATTTTAGGCATAGTGGGAATCCTCCAAGAATAATAAACGTAAAGGTAATTTTGGAAGTGTTCGTCAATGATCAATACAATGTGGTCTCATAAAATGTACATGTATAAACATATCACCAAAACAATGTACTGGTATATTCTTTATTGTCTGAACAAGATTCCTCACCTCACATTATGGAAATCAGGAAATTGACTTTCTTACTACAATGATAGATAACAGTTCCATATTGTTATTGAATACCTAACAAAACACTGCACCACTCTGTTCCCATATCCATTATATCCTCTATTTTTGGCCCCGTACAAACTTGGTTTTCAAGGGTAGTGCAGCAGCTACAACAGATATTTTACAGACAGTCACATGAAACAACCTATAGAATTGTTTCTGACAACACTACTGTCACAAGAAGTTCAAAATTCGGACATAATTTAATTCAATGGCCCGAAAGCTGCTGTCACACATTAATTTACAATTCTTACCTGCTCCAAATCGAGATATTCATCTCCGATTTTTATGAAACTAGGATCTATTCTCTTTCCGGGAGGTTTATTGGGATCGAAAGCAAAGATCACTCCGGATACTTGCGGAAATCTTCCTTCCAATTTCGGATACTGAGACACTCCGTTTTCTAAAGCCTGCCAGATCTGATAACCTGAAAAGTTAAGTTTCTTAAATGAATTTGTTTACTAGACGAAAGTTAAATTTTGAATGATAAACTCTACCGACCGGTTGCAATTACGACAGCCAGAGGATCCATCATAGGTAACAGTGTAACCAAATCCCTGAGAGTGAAGTCTCCCTTTGGGTGTATGCGGTCGGATCTCAGAGTGCCAGAGTTCAGTAGGGCCAGATCAGAATGAGTAGATGATAACATTATATCGCAGACAAAGTTACCTGGAACGACAAGCGAAATTTATAATCTCAGATAAATACGATACAAGGTTACAAATGAAAACAACGAATTTACCTAAGTTGGTTTCTCTAGTGCGTATGCTTGTGAAGCGACCGTCCAGATCCACGGAAAACTGGCCGAGGACCTCATCCATTTTCCCCTCGACGATATCTGAAAATTCCCGATGTTGTTGAAAGTTTCCTAAAAAATTAAACACCTGACTCAAAAACCAACCTTGGTACTTCACTAATTTCAGCCTTAGATCTTCATCTTCGCTAAACTTCGAGGTGACTTCGATCTTCTCACACTGTACGTCGACGGATTCGGGGTCGGAAAAGTTCAATGTTATTCTCGAGAATTCTCTGAAATCCGTACCACTCTTGATAATGTACTTTCCGTTCACCTGAATTAAACGTAAGCTAATCGTCATTTCTTACATTACAAAGTCAGATGCACTAAAATCTAATCCGTAAATTTGGAACAAAACTGAAGAAATGCAACCTCACCTTCTTTACTTCAAAGATGTGATCGTGTCCTCCGAGAATCAGGTCTATCTCGTCCACGTTTTCGGCCAGACGGCAATCGTTGGGCGTCCTCATGTGCGTTAGCGCAATGACATAGTCGACTCCCTCCTGAAAGGATTTTAATAGGGAAGAAATGTTCTTACACTGCATGCTTACGTTACATACAAATGTTCTTACACTGCATGCTTACGTTACATACTCACCTTATCTTTCAGTTGCCTGGCCAACTTACGTCCTTCAGAAACAAAGTCTATGTAAGTGACGTCTTCGGGATCTATGGTTGCCAGGGTGGAGAGCCACTCCTCTTCGACTAGGCCTATCAATCCAAACTGGAATTGTTAGAATTTGTTAATCACCCAGAAAGTTTCATTCCGTCTTCATAATTTAGCACACACTTTATTAAAATCTTAACAAAATTATGATTTCTACACATTAAAACTGTCAGTTTGTCTGAAAATCTGCATGAAAATGATTAAATCGGATGAAAATTTAAGTAAAATTTTCCGTTATTCAATTACCTTTTTCCCGTTTCGCTCGAGAACATAACTGACTTTCCCTTCCGCCAAAGGCTGATGAGTGTCGTTGTCATTGACGTTACTCATTAACCATGGGAAAGTCGTCTGCTTGGCAAAATCGACCAGGTTGTCCACTCCAAAATCTAAAACGACGACGACAAGACTTAAATTTATAATCTAGGGCAACACAATCATCTAGAAAATTGCTTAAAAGCTTACCAAAATCATGGTTCCCATACACAGAACAGTGAACGCCGATGGAATTCAACACCGGAATCATCTGCTCCCCTTTCGTGAACGTGCTCACTGTGAAAACAACATTCAGTCATACACTTATACATCAGAACAATGGAAATATACTATAAATGTCAATGTTTCTGGTTGTATGTGGAAAGCAAAGTCGTTCAAAAGGAAAGTGTGCATTTAGATCCCGTAAACACCCTAACACGCGCCTCAATAAAAAAACTGTACGTCCATTTCTCAGAAGGGGTACACCCTTTTAAAGATACCCAGTTCAAAAAGTTGGGACAATCTGATCTGCTCGATAAAGCACAACTACACAATAATTATACACAAACTTAACTTCTTGAACGAGGTTTACGAACATGTTGCTCCCAATGCATTACGAATTGGCGGTATCAATCCACCCAATCCAATCAACCGAATAAGTGATAATTCAATTATTTCCGATAACAAGATTTAAAATTAATCATGGCTAACACAAAAACCACTTTGGTCGGACATAACCGACGACACATTTTAGAGTAACCGAAGCACTTTCGAGTAAATAAATCTTTACGAAAAGGAAGTTAAATATTTTTGGTTTTATTTTTTTGCCGTTTAAATGTTTCGTATCAGCAGAAACATACAAGAATACCTTTTATACATGGAAATATTTTGAATATGAGCCTTTTTTTTTAATATCATATGCATATTTCTGAGACAGCCTGAAGCAGAAGTTTGAAATGAACAGATTTCCTACTGAGGCTGCATTTACGCAGATGCAAGAAATACAAGAAGATAGAGAAAAATCAGGAGGAGAAGGAAAATCAAAGCAAATAAAGATCACACATCTACAGGAGTATTCTCGTTGTTTTCCCCTCTATTGCATTCATGCAAAAGCGGGAAGGAAAGTCCAATAAATTGTACAATGAAATAAGTAAAACCAATCTATTAACATTTCTTGCCTTTTATTTATGCCCTCAGTGTGTTTTTTTTTACGTCAAGCCATTTTCTTCACATTCGACAGACTGCCAGAATGCTTTGTTGTTGCCACTGCACAGAAGTGAGGCTGCCAAACTACTGAGTGCATGCATGTGTATCAACTCTGGAGAGGAGAGAAAAAAAACGAAAGTTCCATCTCGTCCACAAAAGGATGAGGGAAATTGATATTTCTTACACATTACACACAAGAACTCTTGTTTTCCTCTTCTGCATAAACTGCATTACAAGTGCAAATTTTGATTCCAAAAGGTCTCTTTTGCCTGTTTTCCTGTCTTGCATTCGCATAAATGCAATCTAAGGAAGTAAGTTTTGAGGAATTGACAATGTCAAGTTGTAGTATCTGATCCGAAACATCCTCTCGACTGGACAATTGGCTATTGCTTACTCTTATTTGCCATTCAAAAATGAACCTTCGCTAATCTGGCATCGTTGGGATCCGTAGGGTGCCGGATTAGCAATTTTCTCAGATTGCAGGGTGATTATGTTAGAATACACATAACCATCCCCCTGTAAATAGATACAATAAATGAAAAATCAAGCAAAATTTTAATGAAGCATAGGTAAAATAACAGGGAAATTATGTTGTCATTTTCTAGGTACTATCATATATCACCCATGACGGTAATGCCAAACACCACCAAATGATAGCGACGGGTTTGGTGTGGTAACCTGGAAAAATTGAAATTATGCTAGCCAGATGGTCAACCCATACTATGATTGGATCAGTTAACAAATGCCATCCAAATTGTAATTTACGGATAGACTCTTTTTTTTCTGGCATGCCGCCACCAAGCCGCACAGTCTTTGGCAAAAGGTTTCGCAAAACTTATTCATAGAAATTGCCCGGGAATTTTCTTGTAAACATTTCAGGAGTGCACTTTCCTCCTCTGTTTATCGAGCAAGGGGAGAAAGTGCTCGATAAAGGCTTGTCCGCGCAAATAGTATTGATATTATCGAAATTGCCGAAGACTGTTTTATAATGTTACGGTTGACCTGTACTACGTTTTTATCGCCATCAAAAGACGGATCTTATCGAGTCTACGGTGATGTGGACCACCCAATAAACTCGATGGAAATTTTTTTTTACGTATCAGGTGATCTCTTATCTTTGACGACGATAAAACAAATACTTGCTGTTTGCCCAATACACCAAGACGTGTCAAGAAATTCACTTAAAATGATTTTAAAAACAGCCAAAATATTTACATACAATGACACTAATTCAGCATAAAATTCAAAAAGAAATTAATTTAATTAGTTTCTCTCGCAATGCCTTGTTTTTAAATAATTAATAAACACCATGTCACTTAATTTGCATAAACAATTAAACGACAATGCATGCAAGCGACATTGAGGCTTACGCGATTAAGTTTTCGACTATCTCATCATTTGTTAATGATTGTTCGGTCACTCCGACACTAAAAAAAAAAGTAAATTTTTATTTATTTTTCCTTTTAACTCATATAAAAAACTTAATAATAAAAGCACAAAAAAAAACTTGTTTTCTGTCTTTATCTAATATTAAACAAGCTTTGTTATCCTGTACGTGACCTTCAAAGTAATAAACCGGGAGTTGAAAAGTCACATTTCACAGTCGGCATTCATTCTTGTTACGTCAGTTTGTAGCTTTAGAAATACCGATGCCGTATAAAGGTTCACACCGGCAAAAGTTGCACGAAATCAATGAAAACTGTCGGTCTTATGCATCTTTACCTCTTTTACGCCGAATATTTCCTGTGATTATAAACTGAATGATGTATTATACTTATCCGGAAGGCAGATTTTTGAAAAATTGTGCAAGAAACTGGCTCGTTAAACTGTTCGTTTTTCAATTATAATACCAATTAACATTTAATTTGCCTATTAAATATGAACGTTTGTTAATTTAACACTAGAATTAATAGTAGTTTTAGTGTGTAGCGGTGCAATTTTTTCAGTCATTTTGCACAATTTTATAGCTGGTTAGTGGCAATTTATGTTTCTTTGGATATTTACATCCAAATATACTAAATGACATTTGCAGAATGATCTAAAATGCCAAAAAACAGTCATCTGTTGTCTGTTTGAATGGTGAGGTACTCTACCTTATCAGAAATGCTAACATTCCTCTGATCGATTTGCAGGAAAATTAGTTAAAAAATATACAGAACGCTTACTTATTGATGGTGCGATGATGTCCCCGCTAAACAAAACCATGGGATTGAGGTGGGCGAAACTCTTAATGGCGGCGCAGAACCTCGCCGCGCCTCCCACCGGCTCCTGCTGCTGTGTCTCGACGTTGTAGCAGTCATTGAAGTGCAGAATCGTCACTACTCCCTGCGAGGCGGGCATGTCGTTACTGGTAGAAAAACAGAAATGGAACGAGGTCGATACGCCACTCTGAAACGATTCAAAATAAATTCTAGTTAACAGAAACACGTTTATGCACTTACACGCACAAACATCTATTGGAATTACTCTACTCTAGTTGCATTCATCACTTTTTATTATCACTATCATTCAATTTTACTGATCTTAACTTGAAAATTACACACGCTGAAGAGGTATACTGTAAAGCTGCAATGACGACGACAACAACAAAAGTATTTACTGTAGTTTTAATATCATAAATTGTGTTTTTTGTATAGGAAAGAAGCAAGACAAACTGACGATCTTTACAGAATTTAATTTTTCTCTATGTTTATGAATGCATTGATGAACATCGTGATGTTATAGCTAAAATTATGAACGCTTGAGTTAGATAACCATGGAGTTAGGAAGCGAAGGAAGTAGTTGCAAGGAGTTAGTAGTAGGAGCAGGAAGTAAGGAAGTAGTTGTGAGCAGTTCACACGAAGAGGAAGAGTAGAAATAGGAAAGTAAGAAAATAAGAATTGTTAGTTAAAGTAGGAAGAACTAGTTTGAAAAATAGAGAAATAACAGGAAATAGGAGAAATCAGTAGATCAGAGAAAGCTGTATGATTACATCTGTCATAACGGACCCACCCAAGTAGAAAAATAATTTAACGCAAGGTTATTTAAATGCAATTACTGCCTTGAACTAAAAGTGAAGGAAATTTAACACACTTACCATCATTTAGGCATATCTTACTTATATTAGCACAACATTACGCTTATTAGCGGCGTCAACAAATCGCATTGGCACCAAAATTTCAAAATTCTAGCATGGATTCGAGTGTTACTATTTGCGTATCTACCATTGCATTTCTTACTAGCGCAAGTGTAATAATAATTACAATTGCGCTAGCAAAACTGATATTTAATAAGTCGTGCGACTTATTAAATGGAAATTTCAATAGATTTATAAGTACTGTTCTGCTCAAAATTATATTTTTAAAACATTTTACAGGTTAAATCCGTTCCTCCACCAAGTACCGAGATTGTGAAACTTCAATTTCGCTACAGATTCTCGTAATCACATACCACTCGAGTCACATTTTTCTCCTTGTCTTACACATTAAACGGTTACTAACAGTTAGTGTAAACATTCCAGTTGTCAGGATGAAACAGCATAAAATTCTAACATATTTATTCTTTCAACGTTCTCATATTTAGTGGGTTTTCCTATGAAAATCACACACACGATAATTCATTGATGGCTCTTATCACTTGAAACTGGTTACAAAATCTCAGCGCAAACAGACAATTATCAGACTAGACGCGAAAGGTATTTAAGTTAATATATTCCAAATATCGACACGGTCGACCGAATGCAGATAATTCCGTTACGCAATTTACAGTATGGTCCCAACTCACACTACTTTAAACAATTTCTCAACGTGCAGTTTACTCTGTTACGGAATCAGAGCGACATTATCTGTGGAATCTCTCACGTAACGATTATCTAATCGCTTGGATAGATAATTTCCTGTTTGCGTTTCATTAACTCTTAGATTTACTTAGCCTAAGTACTTTATTCTAACTTAAATGCTATTTGCAGTAATTACAGCTGACAAAATATCACATTGAAACTTGTTTGTAACCATGACCCCATTCCTGCCATACACACCGTATTAATTACAGACCTGCGCAAACTTTCTTAATCAAGTTTGACGATATAAAAAATGCACCCCTAAGGTAATTTTGTAGGAAGCTATGTGAATGGGAATGTACTTATTAATTTAATGGGGTTGTTATTGCTTACGAACATGTAACAGAGGATATTCTGCTATAAATTGTAAATTTATCCCTTAAGTTTGATGTTATTTGAACTATCTACAGTATAGAGAGTTGCATAAGCACCCGTAACTTAATCGAATGCATAAACAGGAACGTAATTTAATGCGACGATTATCAATTAAGAGCATCCGTAACAAGTTACGTCTATTATAAGCTGCAAATTTAGCTCTTAATTTAGATGCTATTCAAACTCTAGCACAATTTGAAAGGCAACACACAAACAGGAACTTAACAGGCAGGTTATCGATTAAGAGCACGTGCAATTAGAATTGTAAGCTTATCTTTCATTAATGCTATCTAAACACATTGCACGTACGAAAACGAAGAAACAGGAATATAGTTATTAACTGTGTCAATTGATAACAAGATGATTATCAATTGCAGCATACAACGGAAGTTATTTCCTTTAAAATACACAAATTACTCGTCAAAAAGTAAACCAAGAAGTCACTCGACTCACTGATGAAAGTTCACAAGTAGAAATGGGGATCTATATCAAGCTGCAAGGGATTGTAGAGAGAAGAACAGGAAGGAAGGTAAAACTGCATCTCTGAATGAGGCAATTGGAATCTTAAAAGCTGTAAACTGTATTCATAGAAGTAAAAAATGTCGAAAGAACGACGGCCCGTATGCAACACCACAAAATACAGCACCTCTGAGATCAGCCGAAGTGTGCAGCGCGAGTCCGATCACACCACCGAATGTCAGTGCAATGGCATTTCTAATGTTTTACAGGCCTGTAGCCATCTCTAGTAAAGTGGAAAAGAGTGTATTTTTAGTATTGATCCGAGAAATAGTTCGAGACTTTTTCATTTTTTAAATTCAACCCAAATTTCGAGGTCTTTGAAATTTCATATGGACAAACACATCTCACGAAGGAGGACATGCAGGCCGGCACTTTGACTTTTTTTTTTCCCCCCTTTGAGCCTGATCTACTGCATCATTCAGAGCTGCAGAAGAAACAAACAGGAATATAGTTAACAGAACGGCTATCGACATAACAGCGATTATATCTGTTACACCGCAAATTACGAGAGGCAAAGTCAGGCGTTACCCTTCCCCTTACATCAGAACGGGTTCCATGCTGAACCGAAGCGAATCGCGGAGATAAAAGTAACTTACCCCCATCGTTCACCAAGGAAAACTCCCAAAAAATCCAACGGAAACCTCCAACATTTACAAACCTTAACGGCATCTCCGCCACGTACAAACGGTCAGTGGGACTGTTTGTGGCACAGTTATGGTACACACACAAGAAAAACTCTGGTTGCCTTGACAGCAAGGAATCAATAGAACTTTTAAAATTAAAAAAAATAATATTAAACAAATATCAATAGTAAAAAAAAAAACAAATAACATATTGAATAAACCCATTAGCAAGCATTTTAAAATGGCTTCCAGTTTAATTTAATCACATTTTTTTTGGAATTATCTAGGCTAAATGGTAATAAAATCATGGGTTCCTCTTGTCAAGTTGCAGGATGCCATTCAAGGTTTACTTTTAATGGAGGATCACACATTTACACAGCTTACAGTTATTTATTTACTTATATTAAAGTAATCTGAGGTTATATATAAGATATAAACGGGCTTTTCGACTCTCTTTTACCTTCACAATTTATCACTTGTCCTTCGAGAAGACATCCGGACGTTCTCTCCACCGCTACCAAACCGACTAATCAATGGACTCCATGCGCGGCCTTCACATTACGCAATCCAACTTTTTTCCTTCTAATCGGGGAATTTTCCCTACCGGCGGGGGGAAAACGTTATCGATTTCGAGAGAATTAAATTCGAATCCGAACAGAACTCTCTCCGAAATTTTAATTTAAAAGACGTTAAAAAATAATTTCACCTTAAAAATCGACTTAAATCGCTTAAGCGTAAAAATCTCCGCGCCGCCATCTTAAATTTCGATAGAGAGGGGATGCTTAGGGATATTATTGTTGTTTGTTTATTATTATTATTTTCTTTTTTTTACTTCACATCTTTAGGGAATTTTAATGTTTTTAAGGCGGAAAAGTCGCGTTAAAATGTCACGTCGATTAAAATTTGAGGGTTTAAGTATTAAAATTGAATGAAATGTTTCTTCCCGAGTATTGGGGAATATTCCCGGAAATCCATTTTAGAGAATTTTATTGAAAAACAGGAAATTAAAGTGCTGCTTTTTATATATTTATTTTTAAATTTCGATTGAAGTCAGAGGTTTAGTCAGAACGGAAATGCGTTTTAAAAGAATATATATATATATATTTTTAAATGTAATCTAGATTTAAAATGAATTAACGTAATAATTTCAGAAAAAAATTAAAAATCAGGAATAATTTTGTTATCGTTTGAAAATTCCCTCGTTAGGGAAATTATAAAATTAAATTTTTACGTATATAAAAGTAAAAAATCGGAATATTAATTATTACAATAAATTTCAAAAATATTTGCTTTTAAATTTCTTTAGATTTTTTAAAAATCCGATTAGATTTAACGAAAAAATGCAGGAAAATTGTTCAGACGGGGAAATTCCCTATCGAAAAATTACTTTTAATAATTCAGACTAATTTATAATTACGTAACAGATACAAATTGTCTACAAAAATAGGGATGAAATGTTGTATTTATCACGTGATTCCGACGTAAATAATCGTGTTTTATACACGACAGGGAAATTTCCAAGAATAAATTGCTAATTACCCGCATTTATAAGGTAGAAAATTCAAAACATCTTACATAAAAGTGATTAATCATCGATAAAAAGTTCAATAACTTGCTCGAACGCATGCTAGATAGTCATTATCTCGCATAAATAAATAATAATAAACATAAATCGATTAGATTTAACATTCGATTAATTTTATTAAAAAAAAAAAATTCAAAAATAAATTAATAACTTCGTCCGATCACGTGATTCTCCATAGCAACGTCGAATTTGTTTGCTTGACGATCATCCCGCATCCTACGCCGAACGACGATAATTGTTTCCTGTTTTAATTAATTATAAACTTTTAAAATTATTTTTATCAAATTTTATTCTATTTTTAAAAGTTTATTGTCGTTTCGATCATTACATTTAAGAAAATAATAAGTTATTTTTGAATTTTTATCGCCGTTTCTATAGAAACCGACCCGAAGTTTTTCCGTTCCACGTTTCGTGATTGGTCGGTTTGAATTTTCTCTCGTTTAAAGATGGAGTTGAAATATTAAACAATTTTTATTATTTTTTTAAAATATTTTTTTCCAGAAATTATGTAATTTTATTTCTTATTTTATAAAATATGACCGCTTTCCCATAGAAAGAAATTAAATTTTATAGTTTTTAATTAAATATAAATGCGCATTTAATGACGTTTAATTCGGCGCAGACCAACTTTATTACTTATTTAATTAAATTAATTTATTCTTTTAAATTACTTTATAAAATATTTCCAACGATCGAATTGTCTCAGGAAATTGTTTTAATGAATTTATGATAGATTTTTTCACGCGATATTTTGAATAAAATACACTTAATTGCCACGGTATGTCAATTAATTGCGTTCCGATCAAACGCAATTAATGACGCAATAATGCAATTAGCGGCATTTTACCCCCATTTGTGACGAAATATGCTCATATATACTTGAATTATCGTCTGTGATGCACTTTCTCACTTTATACATGCACTGGCATGTGTAAGGAACCATGAAATACAGTCTGCATGTCAAAGTTCTCATTTCAAAACATTATAACTCGGAAACGGATCGGCAAAATGACGTCATATTTTACGCAGAGACTTCTACAGTAATGGAAATTTATCTGAAACAGAAAATAATATTAATTATAAAAAATTTCCGCTGGGGCGGTAAATGGCGTTGCAATATCGTAATGGATAACTCAAAATGCTACCATACATACGTGGTAACGCAGCAGCATGCTCTGTAACATGAAAATATGATTGTTTACTCGAGTTTCGCAATGATTTCATCAAATTTCCCACAACGGAGAATGCTGTTACGAAATTTTTCAAACATTTTCAGTTATACATTACGGTATTGCAATGCCATTTACCGCCCTGGCGGGCATTTTTATAACTAGCATTCTTTAATTATAATCATGTATATGTAATGATGAAGCTGTAAGAATTGTATTCCACATAATATCCATTATGAAACTTGTATAAGAGAACACTGATAGGTGTGTGAAATAACATGTAGACTGTATATCTACATATAAAATTATACATATATCAACATGCCTTGTTAAATGTTTCATTTATACATGTTTCATAATCCCTGTCTACTGTATATATGAAATACAGTAGATCTCCCTATAACACGGGTTCCTATAGTTCGGATTCCTATATGACGGCGAAAAAATTGCGACGGTATCCGTACAATCCTGGTAAAAAAACTCCTATAATTCGGTAAAACGTCATCGGGCAGCCGAACTACTTTCCGCCGTCCCAGCGCCACGCTACGGAGAGTTTAGGCGGGTAAATTGAGTTTACTATCGTCTGTACAGTATTATATAAAAATTATATATACATTAAATACTGTACATATAATTATATATAAATTATATATTAATTTTATGGAAGAAAACCTTTCAAACAGCCGTAGTCCGTAAACTTCATACGTGTCGGGCTGTGATTGGCAAGGACTCGTAAGAAATCGATTCATAAAGAACGGAACGTATCTACCGTGTTATAGGGGGGTCGACTGTACTGCACAGTTCTTACATACAGTATGTACGCATATATATTTCATTGTTCTTTACATGCCAGCCTCAATACATACTTGTATATTGTATATGAAGAATACAAGGGTATATACATATTTAAGTGTGTATTTGCATTTATATATTCGTTATACACACTTATACTATAGATTACAGCTGTACTAACCTAAAAAATAGTGTAGTCTACTACATTCTATGAATACAAAGCGTAGTAAACACAATATATCTCAGTTCTTATGTTAATTTAAAGGGAGATCGATATCGAGTGTTTTTTAATGTATTGCTTCATTGTCAAATACTGTTTCGTGTAGAATAGCTATAAACTAGCAATTTCAGTTGCCATGCTGAATAAATAATAGCCTAACAACACCGGGTCGCATGTGGACATTAGCGTAATGACAGCAGTTATATATTTAATAAATTTATAAAGTAAAATGATTGTTGGCATAATCCATGTTTAGTTATAATCCAGTAAAATTATATACATTACTCACCCGGCTTTTATGTAAAGTATGGCGATCGGTCAAGAAACGACCCCCAAAGATTTACATTATTAGACTCGGGGGAGGGTCCTTCGAACATCGAGAAATGCCAAAAATTGGAGAGTAGTGTGTGGGAGAGGAGCGATTTTTTTTACCCACTTTGAAGCTTAATAACACCCGTGCCTTTTGTCGAAAATTTCTGAAATTTTGCGAGGAGGTTCGTGTGTTGGGGGGATTAATGCCGTTGAATTCTGGTGGTGAAAGGTCGAGTGGTACGGGAGATAGAAGGGTTCACGTGTCGCATCTCCAGAGGGGTCAGACTTAATAAAGATTTTACTCGTTATTAGCATTTACAATTTGTTTGTTTTTAAAATAAAATTTCTCTCTACCTTCGAAGCTTTGTGTCATTTTATGATAATTAATAATATAAAGTATTTTCAAATAAAATCTCGCAACAGATGGCGCTACACGCAATTTTAAATTTTTTGTTTGCCCGGAAAGTCACGCAACTCCCTGGATTTTTTTTTTCATATTTAAAATCTACTTCAAGTGGAATTTTGAAGCTGTATTCAATGAAAAGAAAGAAAGAAATGGTGAAAAACACCAATAAATATGAACTAAACGACTAAAAATAATTGAACAAATATACCCTTCGACTTACTGTACATACCTTCTGCATATATTTATACAAAGTCAGACCGAATTTCTACAATATTGATCAGTTAAGTTCACTTTTCTCGCGAGATCTAAAAATAAATAGGATTTAAATATATATAATTCAGTGTTTAAAGCTAATACATAGTATTTATATTAGAATATTTACAATATTCAGCAATCGGAAGTTGATGCTATGGGATTAACCTTCACAAAAACATGGCGTTAAGGCGATTACTGTAATCTTTTAAACAACTATTTTAAGTTTTATTATACTTTTTAAGCTTGTATTATGTTTGTTGTATGCCTACACAAGTTACGTAACAATACAGAGGTATTTGGAACTTGTTTACTGCACCAGTAGTTAGTTTCAAGGCAATCCAGCGAGATGTGTGTTTAACTAATAGTGGTGGTGCTCGTGGCAGATTCGGGAGGACCAAAGCGCGTGCCATCTGTGGCACGTTACTCAATTACTTAATCGTATGTAATTGAAGTCGTGCGATGTATATAGTATTTTAAACAGAACTAATTTGCTATCAAGAGGGTACTGCAGCATCATAAGCAACCCTTGGATGTTCCTCTGGCATATTTTGATTGGTATGCCACGTATATCTTTAGCGTAAATATAATTTTATGCTCCATTCTTCCTTGTTTTCTATCGTATCTGTTAAACTTTCTGCATTGATTTATGTAAATTATTTCCTGTCAGTTGTGTACTGCTGGTCAGAAGCTAGATGAAAGATACATCACGTGCATTAAACACGCTTTGTAAAGGTTATCGCTGCGATATCTCTTGTCATTACAGGTTTGTCTGTGATTTATAAACGTGCTTTGTGAACGTGCAAGCTTTTACAGCAGTTTAAATAAGAATTTTTAAGTATAAACGCCTTTATATTTAATTTTAAAATCTAGCAACGAGTTGCATAACTTTCCCGACCAAAAAAATAAGTTAAAATTGC